CTGAAGGGGAAGATGGTTGGTATTTTTTAAATTTTATTTTATCATAATTTTATTTAATTTGACCAATATGGTGGTGACACGTGGGCCGTAAGTCGGAAAACAGGCCGGAATATGGGAGGGCGTGGTGATTCCTACTAGTTGTGTGTTTTGCAGGTGGTTTTTTTTAAATTCGTAAAAAAAAAGGTGGTTATTTAGAAAAGTGGTGTATTTGGGGGTGGTTTTTTTAAAAAATTTCCTTAAAAGATACCATGGCTTCAACAAAATCTCCAGTGGTGGGTTTCATTTTTTGTATTTTATTCACCCAATAAAGAAGTTTGCGCTGTTATAGCTTCTAGTCAAAGTGCATGATGTTACGTGCACCTTGTTAAAAGTGCATGTTGTTGAGGCCAATTTTGCCTAAAAAAATATGAAAAATATGTGAATCATGTTGAAGAAAATAACAAATGAAGTTCACATGTACAATTTCTTAGGACATCAATTATATGCATAAGTACAATAAGAGGACACATGTGTATTTTATTGTAAATGTTTGGCTATATAATAAGAATTTACGTAGTACCATACTACTACAATTTCACCCATCTCCTTTTACTTGTTCTTTACTTCTCCTTTCACTGATCATAAACTTTCTATCAGTAAAAACCTTTAACAAATCACAAATATATTTTTAATTTCTTTTAGTAAAGTGAATCACAATTATATAATTTGGTGAAATATATATAAAGTATATTTTATCATAAGTAGTTGATGTCGTCGCAGCAAAAAAAAAAAAAAAAAAAAAAAAAAAAGAGAGAGAGAGAGAAAAAAGTAGCACTAGGATGTGATATCTGTTATTCCTGGTGTCTGTTTTAATATTATATGTTATTGATGAAAACTAGTTATGATTTGTCATAGTAGCGAGAAAGTGAGCCTTATCAACCTTGTAAATATTGACTATATTGTACCATGTAAAGTTTTTGTTGATTTGACAAATATGATTCAATGTCCAATTGGGCTTGATATTTATATCGCTATCATTTCTATAGTTCGATATATATTTAAAGAGTCTTTCGTATATTATTCATGAGTCACAAAGTGGTTTTGTTCCGGGCCATCTGATTACGGATATTGTGGCTTATGAATGCTTTCATTACCTCACAAAAAAAAAAAAGGAAAAAAAGGCTATCTGGGCCTCAAACTTGATATAAGCAAGGCATATGATAGAGTGGAGTGGGAGTTTTTGTAGAAAATGATGTTAAAATTGGGCATGCTGGATAATTTTGTGGCTTTGATTATGAACTGTGTTAGTACTGCCTCGTTTGATGTGCTTGTCGATGGTCAACCGTCAAGGAATTTTAAGTCTAGTCGGGGGCATAGACAAGGTGATCCCATCTCCCCTTTCTTGTTTATTTTGTGTGCGGAAGGTTTGTCAGCTTTGCTTAGAGATGCAGAAAGCAGGAAACTCATTCATGGGGTAAAAATTGGGAGATATGTAAAGCCTATTTCTCACTTATTTTTTGCGGATGATAGCTTGCTTTTTGTGAGAGCGACGGAGGATGAAGTTGATAGTGTGCTTGGGATCCTTTCTACCTATGAGGTGGCTTCGGTTCAGAAACTGAATATGGACAAATCAGAGGTGTCATTTAGCCGAAACATTGAGCAAGAATGGAAAAATATGCTTCAGATGAAGTTCTCTTGTAAAGCTATCGAAGGACATGACAAATATCTTGGTTTACCAACCTACATTGGTGGATCCAAGAAACAAGTTTTTCAGAATATTCAGGATCGGATTTGGAAGAAACTAAAAGGGTGGAAGGAGAAGTTTCTATCTCAAGCCGGGAAAGCAATATTGATTAAATCAATTGTCCAAGCAATCCCGACTTATGCTATGCAATGCTTCCTGATTCCGACAAGTATCTTAGAGGTGGTGGAAAAATGATGCCGACAATTTTTTTGAGGGCAAAAAGGTGAGGAGAAGAAGATATGTTGGGTCGCTTGGGAGAAATTATACTCTTCGAAAAGACAAGGGGGGCTTGGGTTCCGGAATATGAAAAATTTTACAAGGCCCTTTTAGCAAAGCAAGTTTGGCGTATTCTCTCTAATGAAGACTCCCTAATGGATAAGGTTCTTAAGGGAAAATATTTCCCCCACTCAGACGTTATTGGAGGCTAAGATTAGTCCGAATTCGAGTTACACTTGGAGGTCTATTTTGGGTGTTCGTGAGGTCCTTTTGAAAGGTGTAAGGAAGAATGTAGGGGATGGAGCTACTAGCAATATTTGGCATGATACTTGGGTCCCAAACCTCCCTGGTTTCACTGTTGCCTCAAGCCAAAATGATGATGCTCATGAGCTCACCTATGTCCGTCAGTTATGGGATAATAGGGAATGGGATTTAAATGTCCTCAATGCAATTTTTTCCCAAACTGAGGTGAGTAAGATTCGGTGCATTCCCATACCTTTCGTTGATTGAAAAGACTCGTGGACTTGGCACTTTACTAAGGACAGTCAATACTCGGTGAGGAGCGCATATAATTTAATCACTGATGAGCAAAGGCGTGATATGGCGGCTGAGTCAAATAGTGGGTGTTTCTTTGACTGGAGAGTGATTTGGAGTGCTGAAATTCCCCAAAAATTTAAATTGTTTGCTTGGAGAGCTATCAAGAATGTTGTTGTTGCCCGTGGTAACCTTGCTTGTAGAGGTATAGAGGTTGATGTGCTTTGTCCTATGTGTGGAGAATGTAACGAGAGTACGCTGCATATGTTGGTTAAATGTGAAGATGCAAAGATGATTTGGTATACTTCTCCTTTGAGGTTGGATGTGGGGAGATTTGTAGGGGTACATTTTAGAGAGTGGTGCTGCTCGGTGCGTGAGACCTACAAAGATTCGGAGTGGTGGTGTATTTTTTGGTGCATTGCGTGGGGAGTTTGGCTTTGACGCAACAGGTGGGCTTTCTAAAAGAAGAGACTTTATAAAATGGAAGTGATTCGCAAAGCTGTGAGTCTCATGGGAGAATTTGAGTACGCCAAAGAGGTATGTAATATTAATCCACTGCCCCCACCCCCCTCGATTTTTGAGTGTGTTTGGAAGCCTCCCTTGGCTGGTGTAATTAAAATTAATACCGATGCTGCGATATTCTCTCCTAGTGGGGTGGGTTTTGGGGATGTGATGCGTGATGCTGTTGGGGATGTGGTGATTTCAACTTGTCTCAAGGTTGAAGGCTGTTTTGAAGTAGATGTAGTGGAGGCCCTTGCGATGCGTCACGCCTTAAATGTCACAAAGGAGTCAGGCTTCAGAAGTGTGTGCTTGGAGACTGATTGTTTGAAGCTGCTCTACCATTTAGTGAAAGGCATGGTTCCCTCTACGGCATTTGGGACGCGATTGTAAATGATATCTTGCAGCTTGCTCAGCAATGTCAGAGTTGCTCCTTTTCCTTTGTGAAGAGAGGTGGAAACAAAGTTGCACATGCCCTTGCCAAACTATGTAATCAATTTATTGATCTTAGAGTTTGGGTGGAGGATTACCCAAATGATGTAACTGCACTTGTGTTGGCTGATTTAAGCCATATTGTTTGATTAGTAAAAGCTTTTGCTTCCCGTCAAAAAAAAAAAAAAGAAAAAAAAAAGTCTAAATTTTGTATTGGAATGCAACAGTCTTTGTGTTGCCTATTTTTAGTCCTTTAAGCCGGTTTTCCTCTCTATGTGTAAACTAGCATGTGTCGAGCCATAAGACGCACCTCCCAAGCATATATATTTGTAAACCTAATTCCATTTAATATGGGCGTTAGAATAATCCATATCTCTTTGAGCGCTTATTTTAGGAATCATAAACTAGTATTATCATTGAGGAAGGACACAACCACCCCCCCCCCCCAATTTCATAAAATAGCCCACATAAACCCTCTAGCGGGTGAGCTAAAACCTCTTCAAGAGATGCAACACCGTTGATCACTATCCATTGAACTGTTCATAGATTATCCCTGCTACTATAACAACTTTTAAAATTATAGTTGGGATTGTGTAGTTCATATTACTTGTAAATCAGTAAATCTAATAGTCCTTGCAAATCATAGTCCCCAACTCCCTAATCCCTATAGTGTAGCGCTATGAAAATAGTGATCTTATGACTATGCTTTCCATTTTGGCTTTAAGTAGTCAGATACAGTATACAAACCAGTAAACAAATGAATTATTTATGTTTAGTGCTACATGAATGTTAAGACTTCCATAACTCCATGCATATTGCACAATTGTACAAAATCTAGAGATATGTAGTAGATCTTCCGATCCTCGTAACCCCCACAAAGATCACATTTGACATCAATATGTAAAACTCTTCTATCCAAGTTCCCTTTTGTGGTAATGAAATGGTGAAACAATTTCATATATTAGGGCGGTTAAGGCGCGCTAGCCACGCACGTTTGGAAGCTCTTTCGGTTTAATTTATGTCACAACTTTAGTTGTTGGTAGCATTAACGATGGAAAATATATATGTAAGAAAATATTTTTAGGAGTATAAATGTCCACACACTATTTTTAAGAATTTAAAAAAAAAGGAATAGTTAACATTAATGAAGGCAAATAAGTAAATTGAATGATATAACCACTTTTCGGATCATTGTATAGGAGAGAAAGTAGTTTGGGAAGATAATTTGCAAATGAAGCTAAAAGGTGAAGTTTTTCTTCACCCTTTGTGAAAATTTTAAACCTATGTAATTGATGTAAAGGTGTCACTTCGGATCGGGTCAGATTGGATTCGCGGTGAGATCAGGTCGGGTCAGATTAATTTTTAATGTTGAGTCATGCTAAATTATTGTGTTCACACGAGTCGAAATTTAAATTTGTCAAAAACTCAGAGGTATTTGGTAAAAGAAAAAAATCGGTGATATTATCATTACACGAGTAGACATTCATGACTACTTTTGCCCATGTGTATAGCTAATACCTATTAAAATGATTTTATTTTATTATCAAATAAAGTTAAACACTAGCTATCAATAAATTTCAATTTTTTAAATGAATAATGAAAAATAAAAAATATAATAAAGTGACACCTTAAATAATGGAATTATTATCGCTAAAATTTTAAAGAGAAATATAAGATCCTACAACCTCGCGCATACACTCTTCTTATTATTTTTCTTGTCAATTTGTCATTTTTTTTTCTTAGTTTTCCCCTTTATCTCCCTTTTAGTTTCCTCTAATTCTAATAAACATAATTTTAAATTATTAGGAAGAAAAAATATTAATGGGGGGAGGGAAAGAACGATCAAAAGATCGTCGTGAAAAGAGGCTCCAAGAGATTTCGTTGCTTCGTACCATTCCCTATTCAGATCATCGACGGTATTTATCAATATTCAACCCTTTTTTTTCTAATATATATATATATATATATATATATATATATATATATATAACATGAATATATGAAATAAATTTATATTATTTTTTCATATTATATATAGTTAAACTCTATTGTAGATTAGGAGTAAGATCATCCCCTTCCCCTTCCCCTTCCTTTTCCTCTTCCATGGGATATAGATGATTTGTTATTGTGATAATTGTTATTTTTGGTGGAGGTGATGATGTTATTATTGCGTATGTGCTTAAATAGATATACAACCACCTAACTCTAACAAATAAATAAAGATAAATTCTTATTAAAAAAAAAAAAAAAAAAGGAAGGTATATATGAAATTATGCTACATTGATTTTTTTTCCTGACAAATAATCATGCATGTCTCCCTTTTCTTAAGATGATGACCAGATTTAATTCATCAAATTAAATCAAAAAAAAGAAAATTTATTACCCTGATATTATTGGTATAAGTATTATATTAAAATCTAATGGATAAAACTTATTTTTATTGTCATAAAATATATATATTCAACATTATGTTATAATTTTCTTATTTTAGGGGATCAACTATTTTGTGGCACTCACATTATTCTCTTTGATAGCAAAATTGGTCTTAGATTGCAAAATCGTATTATTCTACTAGTTAAGAAATTTGGTCAATCGCCTAATGAAATTTATAAATAAATTGTGTTTATTTTTTATCAATTTTTATTAATTCTGATTTTATGGATCAATTATAATTTTCTTATCTTAGGGGATTAAATTTTATGGTATTTTCATTATTCTCTTCAATAGAAAATTGACCATAGATTTTAAAATTGTATTGTTTAAAGAAATATCACATTTGCCCTTGTGGTTAGCAAAAATAAAATAAAATAAAAAAAATCATTAATCCTTTTGTTTTTACTATGTTGACATGATCCTTCTAAAGTTGTACCTCTTCGATTCATATCTCTTTCTTTTCATAAATCGATTAGACCCACTCATTTTATAATATTTCCTTCACAACACTTTGGACCTTCTATTCACTATCTATAATAAATAAAACCTTCTATCCATTACTGTGATAGATAATTAATAAATAGATAGATAAAAATCCAACTACCCACTAATTTTGTTACAAAAAAAAACCCAGATGTTTGGGTCCAATTTAGTCCAAATTGGGCCTAAGCACTAAATGATCCAATTAAAAGCCCAAGGTCAAGGTTCAACTCTCCAATTGTGCAAAAGTCAAAGGTCAGCCCACAAAGCAAGCCAATTGGGCTAAGGCCCAACCTCTCCATGCATGATGAGGTATAAAAGCCATCATATTGACACATTCACACACGGACGTTCATATTCAGATTCTGATTCATATGCTCATTGAGATATTCTGATATATTCCATAAAAGCCTCAAGCTACAAACTCTCTTGCATAGTGTCTTCTTCTTACACATTGTACTGACTTTAGCATCGGAGGGGCCTTCCTCGGCAACACCCCCGAGGCTAGGTTACGTGTGTTTACTGTGCAGGAAACCTTCGGCCCAACATAACTTGGACCGAATCCAGTCTTCTCCATCTCAGCGGACCTTCGGCAAGGTCCCATTGTTTTCACCCGAAACAATTTGGCGCCGTCTGTGGGGAAGACTTTCAAAAATCTTTAAGTCAAATTCCTAACCAAGATCATCTTGCAATTATCTTAGCAGCCATGGCTAAGAACCGCAAGAGCAAAAGCCTCCGTCAAGGAGCGGGCGAAAAGCCTAAAACCCCTACACCATCGCCCTCGCCGGACCGGAACTCTCCCAAGGGTGCCGGCTCGGGGGGAGGATCATACAAGGAGGAGTCCCTATCTCCCGTAATTCATGACTCTCAATATAGGCCGGACCACTCTCGGTCTAGCAGGGGTCAGTCTGATCATAGGACATATTCAGTGTCCCAAAGCCAACCATCGGCTGCGCGACCTCATTCCCACACTCGGCCGAGGACCCCTTTGACGGGGCCCAGTTCGGAAGAGGTGGCAAGAGCGCTGGCAGTACTCATGGAGGCAATGAGGGCACAAAATATGCCACCGCCTCGTGATCGAACTCCTCCGCATACCCGGCATCAGCGGAGGAAGTTAGACCATGACGGTGGGAAGCTTCCTTCCTTCCGGGAACTGGAAGAGTGGGAGGAGGATTCTTGGAAAAATGAAAAACAGAGGAAAAAGAACCCTCAATTATTAAAAGGATCCTCATCCTCAAGACCAGAAGCGCATAAGAGCAGCAGCTCAGCTTCTCGGCCAGAATCTACTCACCGAGAACCTGAGACTGTTCGCAGAAGCGTCCTTGACCGACTCGGCGGCCAGGAACCGAGCGTGCGTAGTCGCCTCTCGTTCCCTGCAGCCGAGGCCCAGACTTCCCAGCCAGGGACGAAAACCACTCCTACCTCTCTAAGAGGGCGGAGCGCGGTCCCTTCGGCCAGGAACAAGGGCAAGGCCGTTATGCTACCCGCTAGTTCACCATTCGAGCAATGGATACTGGAAGAGCGCGTACCCACGGTTAAAATACCGTCGCATATCACATATGACGGGACCACGGATCCGAAGGACCACGTGGCCTCGTATGAGACTCATATGCATCTTTGCCCCAGATCCGAGGCGACTTGGTGCAAATATTTCCCAACCACTCTCAAGGGGGTCGCGCAAGCGTGGATCTCCAAGGGAGTAAGGCAAGGCTCCATAACAGGTTGGGATGATCTGTCCTCCAAGTTCAGGAGCAAGTTTTCCACGGCAAACCGCCGAGAGAAGACTACCGCAGAGCTCATGAGTCTGCAACAGGGGGAAACCGAAAGCCTCCGAGACTACCTGACCCGTTTCAGTAACGAGTCATCAAGCGTCTCCCAGCTGGACCAGGGGTTAGCCGTTTTTGCAATGCAGAATGGCCTTCAGCCAGGAAAGTTCCTAGACTTCATGGTCATGCATACCCCGCAGACCTTGGAGGAAGCTCTTAGTGCTTCGGATAAGTTCATCCGAGCCGAAGAATGGAATAAAGCAAAAACCCAACCTCAATCCGGGGGAGGGAAACAGAGGCAAATACCCTTGTCTGAAGGCCAAGGCCATAAGGCAAAGGGAAAATCAAAGGCCCCGGAGCAATCTCTGGCCAACGACCCAAAGAAGGACAGATTTGCCTCATACACAGGCAGATACGAGTCCTACACTCCGCTCTCTCTTCCACGCGCCAAAATTTACAGTGTGACGAAGGAAGAGCAGAGTTACCGAAAGCCGCGACCACTCCCAGAGTGGTATCAGCGAAAAAATAAAAATCAGTGGTGTGAGTTCCACGAGTCTTCGGGCCACAACACTGAGGAGTGTATCCAACTGAAGGACCAGATAGAGGACATGGTCCGGAAGGGATACTTGAAAAAATACATCGCGGATCACCGCGAGAAAAAAGAATCCGAGAGGTCAGCAAAGGACCCTCGGCAGGACCTTGATTTCCCCCGGAAAAACAGTAAAAAGCCGGAGGGGAAATTCCCTCCGATCAATGTTATCTCGGGAGGAATATACTCGCGGAGGGAGCACAAGCGCCACCTTAGAGCTTTGACTCACCAGGTGAACAACGCTGACATTCAATCTCCCCAGTCGCCGGTGCCGAACATGACGTTCACAGCCGCCGACTGCCGGGGGATCACGTTCCCTCATGAGGATCCGTTGGTGATCATCGCCACGGTGGCCAACCACGACGTCAGTAAGGTCCTTGTTGACGGTGGCAGTGGAGCAAACATTCTGTTCCGAAAGGCCTACAATCAAATTAAGCTGAAGCCCAAGCACCTTACGCCGGTACCCTATCCGGTATCCGGGTTCAATGGGCTTCAACTTATCCAGATGGGAAGGTGACACTTCCTGTCACCATCGGCTGCGATGAGGCAGCAAGGAATGTCATGACTGAATTTTTGGTCATCGACGCTCCTTCAGTGTACAACGTGATTTTGGGGAGACCCATAATTCACGAGATCCAAGGGGTCGTCTCAACTTATCATCAGCTGATGATTTACGTCTCAGACGCCGGCTTCCCTGAAAGGATACAGGGCAACCAAAAGGACGCCCGAAGGTGCAACTACCTCAAGCCATCCAGTAGTCGCCCAGATGACGATAAGGATGAGGAGGGGAAAGAAAAAGAAAGAGAGCCAAGCACGAAAAAGCCGAAAGGCCTAAGTGCTTCGGCCCAAGGATCCGTGCCCAGAGAAAAAGGGCCCGAAAGGGAAAAGGCTAGCTCTTCAGCTGAGCCGCAAGACTCAGAGAGCCAGCCGAAGAACACAAAGACTGGGACACCTGCTGACATTGGCAGCAGACCAGATTCTGAAGAGTCCAGTCCATCGGCAATGGACATGGACCAACAGACTGAAACAGTTGAGTTGGCCGAAGGAGACGCTGAGAAATGTGTAACAATCGGGATGGACCTTGATCCGAACACCCGTTGTGAACTTATTCAGCTCCTTCGGGATAACAAAGATGTGTTTGCTTTCTCGGCAGCAGATATGCCCGGGATAAGTTCAGACCTCATCTCCCATAAGCTTAATGTTGACCCAACGTGTCGACCAGTTAAGCAAAAGAAGCGGAATTACTCCGCCAATAAGAACCGAGACATCGCAGCCGAAGTCAAAAAATTATTGGAGGCAGGATTCATTGAACCTTGCCAATATCCAGAATGGCTGGCAAATGTGGTGATGGTTCAGAAGCCCAATGGTACCTGGAGGATGTGCGTTGACTTCACGGACCTAAATAAGGCTTGTCCAAAGGATTTCTATCCCTTGCCGAGAATCGATCAGCTAGTCGATTCGACAAGTGGCCATGCCTTGCTTAGCTTCATGGACGCATTCTCGGGGTATCATCAGATCTTTATGCACCCCGACGATCGAGCCAAGACAGCATTCGTCACGAACGCTGGGGTGTACAATTACAAAATGATGCCCTTCGGATTGAAAAATGCGGGGGCAACCTATCAAAGGCTGGTGGATCAAGTTTTCG